TTTTTCAATATGTTGTATTTTTTTTTATTAAAGGCAAAAACAAAAAGAATTACAAATAGCTTCAGTATCTGCCATCTGTAAAATGAATGAGCACAAGATAAACCTAACCTTTAACATGGTAATTTTAGTTCATTAGAACAAAATGTTTTCTGAAATCCAGTCAACTCAAAAACACTCCAGCTACGTTTGGAAGGCTCACATCTGAGCTCCTTAAAGCTTGCCACATCTCTGCCTCATTAGATGTTATTTGTCGTCATTGATCCAAAGCCTGTGTAGCCTCAGTGGAAGTACAAACAGTCTGTGATGGTGGTGTGAGGTTGGACCAAATGCAGAGTCAAGGAGCTCAACATAAAACAGCAAAAGTCCTGACATAGCAGGAAAAAAGTATGAATATTGAGCTTAAAATGTGGCACAAAGGGTACCAGACATGGCATGAAAGCTCAACAATGCTCCACTGATGAGGGTAAAACTGAAGAACTATAAGGCCTGGGTCTGATGAGGAAAAAACACAGTTGAGCTTAATGGGACAGAGAACAGGTGTGAGGACAAGATCTCACTTGCAAAAAGGACCCGAAACATAAATAATAAAGGATGACAATAAATGAAAAGGAAATGCTTGACTAGTTACATTATTTAAAATTATTTGATGATTTCTACTCTTCACATTGAAAAACAATGAGATTAAAAAAAACAATAAGCGTGCATTTTATTAAATAGTGTTGTGGGTTATCATATCAAAAATCTGAGAGCAGTTTCTATGTTTCTACAAATTTAAATTCTGTTCCAGTTAATCAGACACTCAATCTGTTTCATAATCCCAGTCAGGACCACTTGGAACCATAGCTGCACCACTTCAGGGTGAAATATGAGTCAGAAAGTTTTAAATAACATGGAAACTTTTCCTGAAAATGACCTGTTTGTGTCAGCAAATTCTCTRCCCTCCAGCCCACTTTCGTTGCACATGTTCACAGCCGAAGACGATTTAGGCGACAGATTTTTTTTTTTCAGTCAGTGGACGTAAGCCCAGTTTTTCTACTGAAAGAGGAAATGATACTCACCAGACCACATGATCCCATGTCATCACAACAAGACAGCTTCGACTCATGTTCAGTCACTTTCTGAACGTTCTTCAAAGTAAACTGCATGACGTGTGGTTACTGCAGGTAAAACACAACCCAAACAATGTTTATCAATGTTTAAAGCTGGGTGTATAGTTTGGTTTTAAGGTGCTTCTATGTTTTCTTAGATTCAGTCAWGGCTCAAAATGTCAGAGTAAAGCGTTAAGATTTTGTGGTATGTAAGTCATGTTCATGCTTTTTATTAATGCCAAAACCCCCAACTCATCAGATTAAGATCAGATTCCCTCATGTTTTAGTCAAGTAGTTATTTATTAATCTTTGTTAAACCATCTGAACATCAGTTAACTGTCTATTTATTCATTAAATTATAGTTTTTGCTCTTGTCGTTCACTATTATTTATTGTTACATTAACTTTGTGTAACTTTTAAAAACGTTTAGCTTCAAATGAGACATTTTTGATAGATTAGTAACGAAATTACAAGCTAGGTAGCTAATTAATACTAGCTTGGTATCCAGTAAGTAACTTATGAGCTTGTAACTTATAGCAGCCTTTAAAACACTTTCTTGTCTCCCTTTCTTTAGCTTAAACAGCTTAAATTCAATGTAATTGTTTTAAATTGGTTTGCTATCTATTAGCAAACAAATTCTGGAGAAAAATTATGTTTTTGTGATGCACCACAAGCAACAAATTACCAAAAGATCCAATCTTAAACTAATTGTTTGCAAAAATGTTTGGTATGTGAAGTTACAACAGGGATTTATTTCTTGTCTTTTTTATTATCTGAGTGATTCAGTCTGAGTTGAGGAGTTAGCAAAATTAAAACTTTGAAAGACCCACAAGAAGTTAATTATTGATCAAGACCAGGATGCTCCTTGGAAGCATAAATAAATGACTTATTAATACACAGCACTGCATCCATCAACTTCCTCCCACTCAATATTTAATCCACCTTAACGTTTGATCACAAGACAAACACGACTTTCATCTGAATGAACACTTAAGTCGACTGTTTAAAAAGAACTTGTGCAAATTTACCAACCATCAATGTCTCTTTGCCTCTGTTGGTTTCGTCACAAACTACAGTATTGTGCTGCTTTGGAGGAATAAAATGCACACACAGCAATATTTGTTTAGAGCTTTTGTGTCTGGTGTTTGTTTAAAAGTGCCACCTTGGTTTGTTTTATGGGCATCGACGCTGTAAACACAGAATGCATGGGGTTTCTTGTAATCGTTCAAAGTAAATTAGGAGAAGCGGCAGCGAGTGAGAAGATCCTCACCCTTGGTATTTCTCATTGCAAGAAAAATTAACTTCGTTATTAGTGGTTTTAAATGTTCAGGCCAATGAATGTATCATAAGACTAAATTCTCTTCTATCTGTTAATTGTAATTTGCATCGCAAAGTGACAAAACACACACTCTGACCACAGAAACAGAGGCAAAATCCAAATCCAACACCCTGAAAACACAAAGTCTCTCACAGCACAGACACCAGTGAAAGATTTATCCACTATACCTCAAAGTCACAAAACATCACCCTCAAAAATAACACAAATACAAACTACTAAAGATGAGAAATTAATCAGAAAGAAGCATCGAGCGCAACTTTCATACTAAGCCTTGTGTGGCGTCCTCTCCATTAATCAGCRGAGATGCAATGACAAGAAAAGCTGCCTGAAATGTAAACCTTGAAAACATTTTAGAACAGCCAAACTAAATGTTTCCCTAAAGACTAATTGCATAATTTCTCCTTTGAGCTCACATGGGTAGAAGCCAACATTGTGCAAAGCGTCTGCAAAAAATAAAAAAATGATGAGTTTTAGTTTATTTCAAGCACCAGAGTAAATTTATCATGTCATTTGCTTCACYTTTAGCAATTTATTCCCTGAATGAAAACAAAGGTGCAAGAAAAAATAAAAAAAAAAGACACCAGCTGTATCTCTCTTTTTCAGTGGGTGAAAACGACAGTGAACCGTCCAGCCTTTAGGTGTTTTTTTTTCTTTGAACACCAGCCTCGCTCAGTCACACATCGAGAGTTGTGGGTGGGACTGTATTGATCTGAAACAGAGAGGGAGGCGCACAAAACTGCACAGGAGGAGGAAAAGCTTCAGCAGAAGAGCCTCAGCTCTCTGTCTGTGCACACATTACCAGCAGCGGTACATTTAAATCTGAATATTTTTACCTCTTCTTCTATTTTTTTTACTCCAATAACAGGTAAGTCTTTAAAACTGTGGTGTGATCAGTAATGTTAGAAAGAAGGGAAAAGATTGAAACATTTGTATTAATAAGGAAAACCTAAATTTGATTTAGAAGGTTTGTTTTATGTTTTGGGAAAAGTACTGACCTGTTTTGTTTTGTTCTACAGAAAGACTTCAGAACTGACTGTGAGAAACATGTGAGAAGAAGAATGAGGTTATGAGTAATGTGTTTAAGGCAAGTCAGCGTCATGGATTTTGCCATCCATCCTCGCTGTTCGCGTTGCAAAATGTTCGTCTCCAATGGGCAGTACTTTCTCCCGTCGCCTGGGAATTTGGAAATTCCTTAAGTCRCCGCAGATCAGACGAACCCCCCTGTGAGAAAGACAAACATGAATAACAGTTCATCGTACAACAGCACCTCAGAGGGTCTTCATGGCACACCAACAACAAGCATCATCATGTTTTTGGCCGGAGTCGTGGGAAACCTTCTCGCCCTCTTCATCTTGGGTGTTCACCAGAAGAAGCACCATTCCAGGTCATCGATCTTCTGCATCCTGGTGACGGGCCTGGCCCTTACGGACCTGCTGGGCACCTGCCTCCTCAGCCCACTCGTGTTCGTGTGCTATGCCCACAACAAGAACCTGATAACTCTGGGTGGCGATAGCTTGTGCAACTTCTTTGGCTTCACGATGATCTTCTTCGGCCTGGCGCCCACACTCATTCTGTGTGCCATCGCCACAGAGCGCTGTTTGGCCATCAGCCACCCGTACTTTTACTCCGTGCACATCCGCCGCAGCTTTGCCAAAGTCGCTCTTGTCTTTATTTATCTCTTCTCCTTGGCCTTCTGCCTCTTGCCGTACAGCGGCTACGGAAGGTTCCGACAATACAACCAAGGCACGTGGTGCTTTGTTGATATGGATGCAACGGGGGATGAACACCCCAACTTGGTGTTGGCCTTCTCTCTGTCCTACTCCTCCCTCATGGCTCTGCTGATTTTCATCGTGTTCGTCTGCAACGGGTCGGTGATCGTCAGCCTCTGCCAGATGCACCAAAGCCAGCTGGTCCGGCGTGGCTCGGTGGTGTCGATGGGGAGGAAGAAGAAGCTGAGCCTGGCCTGGTTCGTACAGGGGGAAGAGGAAATGGAATACCTTGTGTGGTTGGCACTAATGACTGTCATCTTTGCAGTGTGCTCCCTSCCCCTGATCGTGAGTTCATATTTTCCTTCAACATTTCTCACTTTCAGGTTTGAGTCATGATATATTGCCATCCCTGAGGGCAAGTTTTCTAAATCAAGGAAACAAAAGGGGAACCACCGCAAATTCACTTCCTTATCTTTTACACGTTTTGTTAAGGTTTACCTAAAGGTATAAGAGCAGGGGAGCCAAAGCTAATAAAATAATTCCACTCCTTCCATGTACACAAAAAGCACCAGAGGAATGGCAACTGTTTTTGTTTTCACTGCTCTGGTATGTGCCCCGTCTGAGGCTCCTTAACGGCTGCCTTCATTTCTTTGGCTTTACTTACAGGTGTGTCTGACAGCCCAGCCGTCACACACACGCACATATAATCACTGTGTGTGTTTTAGAAGGTGTCCATTTAGCATACCATTTGCTCAAACTTTCAATGAGAGTGTGCCTAACCTGGAAAACTTGTCTTACCTTGCATCTTCCCACACGCAGTTTTTTTTTTTTTTGGTTGAGTCAACAAGGTCCATTACACATTTAAACATCAACCTGGTGCATTAATAATGTCTAGTTAATAATGATGAATGTGGATTGTGTTAGAACCTTTGTCTGATTTGTGAAAGAGTGATTTAACAGTCTAGTTTAGTAGTTTGTGTACCTTTGACTCATTCTGCATTTGGACGGTTTGGGGCAACGTGAGGCCTGAAGGTTTGAAGGCTGCAGTATTTAACACCAATTATGTCTGGAAAAACCCAAGGGAGAATGATCAGCGATGACATAAAGCTTTTTGTTCTCTGAGTAAGGCTTTGGGAAATCTCAAAACCACAGGCTGCAAACACGTGCGTTTTGGTGCTGCAGTGCAAGAGACAGTTAATGTTTCGTTTTCAAAAGTGAATCAGAAAAAGCACAGGGGACAGCTTGAGCTTTATGAAGAGGTTTTGGAAATTGTGTAAGTGTTTTATTCTGATATTTAATCAAACACAATGTTAAACTAACTGTGTCATAAGCTTAACAATCAGTGCAGAGTCACAAGCCCAATGTCTGCTGTTTATGCTGTACTTTACAGTTTATGGTTGTGTTACCGACTACAGGAAGATTTAGGTGTTGGTGTGCTTGTTCTCTTGCATATGTCTTTGTGGTTAGAATTAAGAACTGAAGCAGGCGTGGTGAAGACGTGACATCTGAGCCAACGGCACAAAAAATGTCTGCAATAATCAAAACAGATCAAGACTTATTTGCTTTGTTTTAAACTTATCATGGAGTTGCACAAATTTACATTATTCTGGTTTTCTTCTTCATATAACAAGGAAAATCGAAGCTGCGTTCAGTTCCTGCTTTTAGTGAAACCGTTAATCTTTTTACAGTGCCTTCCAGTTAATCTTCGGTTTATCAAGTGCTTTTACGGAACTAAAAATACTTAGAAGTCTTCTTTTATGAAATATGTAGTCTGTTTGCAGATTTCTGTTGRCAGATAAATGTTGGTGAAGAGGAAAAGCAGGAACTGGAAGATGAACAGTTTTTTTAACCTCAGTTTAATGTTACATTGGTTTATTTGTAAAACTATGAACCATGTTCTTGCCTGCAGTGGCTCAGGCTGCATTGGGAATGTGCATGCACAATGGATGCAAATAATCAAAATGACAGTTCTGTAAAGTTTAGTGTTCAATAACAGTACACATAAGGCACGGTTCGGTTCAGTAAACCAGCAAAAGAAGCATGTCCCAAATGGCTTTTTATTTTTACAAACTTTCCTAGAAGCAGATATTAAACAAAAAAACAACAACTCATTAACAGGCAGAGTGTCAGGTTACAGTATGTACAGCAATGCAGGATTTGTCAATAAGTGAAATCGTTTTAATTTTACAACGTTATACTTTACCTGTTTTTTTATCCAAATCTTTTTTATCTATAATGCAAAAAGTAACACACAGGCCACAAACTACAGATAGGTATCAGTAGAAAATGTGGCTAAAAATTCATATAAGACAAAAACAGTGTTTTCTTCAAATATTTTGAACTAGACTTCATGTAAAAAAATAATACAACACAGACCTGAACAGCACCAAAAAGGTGATACAATGAGTGCTATGTGTTTTAAAGTGTCACTTATATGATAGAACTGCCTGCCATACCTGCACGCCTAATCTCCTCCTCTGCTGCAGCTGTCAGTAATCAGTGGCACCTGTCATGCTTAGTTTAGTGTTGAGTGTACAGATAGCATATTTCTTTGCTTCTGTTAAATAAAACGTACGCCCGCTCTGAAAGCAAAGGCCCGTGACTATCATTATCCTCATCAGTTCAAAGCAACGAATCGTGACACATGGACCGTTGGCTGTTTGTCTCTTTGGTCCTGTGATGAACTCGGACCTGTCCAGGGTTTACTCTGTCTCTACCAGTGAAAATGGATGGATGACAGTAATCCACTTAGTCCTTTGGATCTGCTTAAACAAACCAGTCGAGTCAGAACTATTTTTTATAGAGTGTGGTTCCAAAAATTTGACGAGGTTGTTTCCAACCCCATTCAAAAATCTGAACTATTACTTTAAGTTTGATAAAGAAGATTAATAGCCTTTCAATGAGAGATTTGTATTGATTTTATTAGCTCACATGTGTGGTTAGTGTTTTTAAACATTTCATTTCCCAATTTACAATCTTATATTTGCCTACAAAAGATTCAGAACATATTAGAAGTGTGGTTCTTGTTGCCAGCAGCTGAGCACAATCTTTGAAGTGAAAGTTCACACATTGTGGTGTTGTGGTAAAAGATGGTCCCTGTTCTTTTTTCACCAATGTTGAGGTTAGGGGTGTGCATTTTTTGCCCCCTGGAGTAACCCATTGACTACAGGTGTTTGTTGTTCTCTGACGTTCTCTGTTGTTTGTTGTGTTGCCTGAATCTCATGAGTTTCTCAGGCATGTCCCAGTTTATCACCTCTTATCGCCTCCTACTGATTTACAACATAAAGTGGGCAGTTACAGTAGCTGGAAAACACAAAGTGACGTAAAGAATTTTATCGTTCCGGACGTTCTGTGAAAAACACTGTTTGATTTGTTTGAAACAGGCTGGTCTTATATGTCAGATTGTTCACACGCCTTAAAAAGATGATTATGAGATGAAATTTATGGCCAGAGCTTGTTAAATTTTTTTTAAATGAAAGCGTTTGAAGTTGCAACAAAATGCAACCCAAATATCATACAGTATTTCTGCACATCAAGGCAAGAACACTGTTCTTCTTTCTGCTGTTCCTATCTACAGGGGACGTTACAACAAGCAAACTCTCATGGAAAATTTTGCAATGGGGATTTTGTTTTTCCCCACATGCCCTTTCTGACGCTTCCTGGGCTCAAACTTGCAGTCTTGGGATTATAAGACCACAACACTAAACACTAACTGAGCCAAGAATAAAATTTAATAAGTAACTCTGAGACTGCTGACCGATTAAAAGCTGTTCACCTGGTATCAGTTTTTGGGATTAATCATAACTCAAACATGAACATGTTTATGTTTTCTTTAGTTTTTAGGACCGGAAGCTAAATATTGAAAGTTGTGGATTGAACAGAAATCAACAGCTCTCTCTTTGTCAGTGCAACACCCATTTGTTTCTCAGTACTTCCTCATAATGTTACTATGGAAGCCATATAGTTTCCTAGAGGCCACAGATCAATAAATCAGTGAAGTCCTGCAGTTTGTGTTTTAAAAAGACTGAAAGTCTTAGCTCCTGATGTCTTCCACTGTTACATCATTGACAAGCTAATATAGTGATAAAAAACAGCTTCATTCATCACTGTGGCCCTTTTTCTAAAATTATCTTTTAGGTGGCGTAGATAATTTAATCCGGAGCTCCACTCAGACTTGCCCATAAAAGGTTTCCATTAGCGTAGACGCTTTATCTGAGTGGAAGTTAGCAGACTTACATTGACCTGCGTGTTTGTGAGGAAAGACGTCAGGAAGGAACTTATTGATTCATGAAGGAAATCCAATGATGGAGAGGAGTGGGATTACTTGGATAAAAATAGCTATAAGGCTTTGGCTGAATATCTAATAATGTGATATAATTTTTTCCTTTATTTTAATGGAGGAATCATCTCATCTACAAGCCAAGTCTGAGCTCCACCTTTTTTGCTTTGTTTTGGTCACCGTCTGGTGAACTTTGAATGAGTTTATGAACTACGTGAAAGAGATGATCAGTTAAAGTTGTGAGAAAGTAAAGACATATATGTGTACAGAGATTTAATGAGATTTTTATTTTATTTTCACTTTAACCCATAACTAAAATGAATACTTCTCCAGACACTTGGATCAGCTTAATTAGTGACTCTAAATTGACCCTAGGTGTGTGTGTGTGTGTGTGTGTGTGTGTGTGTGTGTGNTGTGTGTGTGTGTGTGTGTGTGTGTGTGTGTGTGTGTGTATAAATGGTTGTTTGACTTGTATATCTCCTTGTTGGCCTGCAATGAACTGGTGGCCTGTTCTTTCTCTCATCCAATCACTGCTGCTGATGGTGTTGCACTTAGGTTTGATCCACTCTAAGAGTAATTTTAAAAACAGATGTGTTCTGCTACATTTGCATGTCCTGTCCACACAATGCTTCACAAATAGCAAATTCTAACTTACACCCTTTTTACATCCGGACAATCTTTGCAAACTGAATGTGGTAACCAAGACATGTTAAATTTAGAGAAGCGCATCACTGAAACTCAGTTTGATACTGGCAACCACTATCTGTGATTTGATAGAAATGCTTTTAAGTACAAGTTATTATATCACATCATTGAGTGATGTTTCTATCAGGCAGAAGCTAACCGATGAAAACCCCGTATTTAAAAGCAATTCTTTGCAGAAATCTAAAAAAAGATGACAGCCCGCCCCTTCCAATATGGCGTCACACTCGTCTCCCGTTGGTCAATCTTCTGAAATTTGCGTGATGCCTCTATTCTAGAATGAAGCATCAAGTTAAAATGGACACATTGAAAATAAATACTATGTCAGATAATCTAGTCGGCTCTGATTGCACATCTTTAGAAT